TTGTAATATGAGGCACTGCGAAATCATGGAGCTTTTAGTGGAGGGAAGCAAGATTATGTTCTGAGAAATGCAAAGCGAGCGACACGCAAATACACGCCCAACACGCTGAAATACTTAAGAGGAATTGAGACGCAGAGAACTATATTTGCAAATCAAATGGGAGTCTTTAGAGACGCTCGTTGGACGAACGCCCATGCAGAACTGAACACACATACGCTCACATGCCAAGACTAGATTTGGGAACAGTGCTCCACTGAAGATTCAATCACACCCACAGTCACGTACACAAAATCTGCTCTTCTATTGTGAAAGAATAGTTGTTCCGCAACCAATGCGTCATATGCTGCTCAGCTAAAAGTAGTGTTGCAACACTTAAAACACATGAAGCTGACACTTGTTATTTTTTGTCCTTTTAGACTTGTATACTTACTAATTTTTATACTTTCATTCTGAACCAAAATAAAGAAACTCAAGGTCACAGCTCACTTCCTGTTACCCATGTGGCCTGATTTGTTTGCACTACTTGTTTATTGTGTTACCAAAGTCAGTTCTTCAGGAAATGGATTTGAACCTAGACCACTTTTTTCGGCAACAATGAAATGTTTATAGCATGCATGCATGTTTATGTGCACTGCATTGTGGGCATTGACACTCTAGACGCACTAGATCTCACCTAAATATAGATGTTTTTGATAATATTTAGATATATTTTAATTGTATTAATTTAAGAGTTAAAAGTTTAATAATAAATATAAAGTACTTTATTATATAAATTATTTACTTTATATTTTTATAAAAAAAAAAAAAATGTTTAATTGTTTATTAATATAAATATTTAAATATATTTTATTGTAGTATTATGTTTATAAAAACACGTTTATATGTTATATTTATGTATTTTAAAATACTTTTAAACTATATTTTTAATTTAGGAATTATTTATAAAAATATTTAAATATTTCAACATTTTTAGTAACATAAATAATTGTTTATTAATATAAATATGTAAATGTTTTACTATATTTATTGCACTACTTGTTTATTGTGTTACCAAAGTCAGTTCTTCAGGAAATGGATTTGAACCTAGACCACTTTTTTCGGCAACAATGAAATGTTTATAGCATGCATGCATGTTTATGTGCACTGCATTGTGGGCATTGACACTCTAGACGCACTAGATCTCACCTAAATATAGATGTTTTTGATAATATTTAGATATATTTTAATTGTATTAATTTAAGAGTTAAAAGTTTAATAATAAATATAAAGTACTTTATTATATAAATTATTTACTTTATATTTTTATAAAAAAAAAAAAAATGTTTAATTGTTTATTAATATAAATATTTAAATATATTTTATTGTAGTATTATGTTTATAAAAACACGTTTATATGTTATATTTATGTATTTTAAAATACTTTTAAACTATATTTTTAATTTAGGAATTATTTATAAAAATATTTAAATATTTCAACATTTTTAGTAACATAAATAATTGTTTATTAATATAAATATGTAAATGTTTTACTATATTTAAACGTTTTATGTTTATAAAAACATGTTTATAACACATGTTTATATAAATATGTTTTATATATTTTAATATATTTAAAATATATATTTTAATGTAATAATTTGAAAATAATTATTATATTTTAAAATAATTTTATCATTTTAATTTATAAAATATAATTACATTAATTACAATTTATATTTTTCAAAAATATTCCAAATATATTAAATATGTTTTAATAATAATATTAAATTAATATGAATAATTAAATTGAATTAATATTATATTTTTAATAATAATAATTTAAATAATAAATACTGTAAATGTTTATTAATATATTATGTTTTTGGATCATTGTATGCATGTTCATATATTTACTTATCTTTACACTTTTTTTTTTTTGCATTTTTGTATTTACTTTGCCCTGGTGTGGTGTATATTGTGTATGTTTCTGCTTGTAGATATGGACATTTTCCTACCACAGGGGCCCTTTTCTAGGTTGACATTGGGATTAGCATAGGACCGTCCACCTGGAATACTTGTGTACAGAGGATACAGAGAGACCAGTTCAGGACAGAAACACAATACCAGGCAGGACATGAACAGCGTCCACTGATAACTCCTCTCTGCTTCTACCTGTCCCTCCATCAGCAGCAATCCGCCCTCTGCCTTCGCATTGTGATGCAAATCAAGTCCCTGGTTGTAGAGCTGATAAGGAGGTCTCTCATTTCAGTGCGCTTTGTTTCCCAGACAGAGGAGAGCTTAGCGGAGGGGACACAGAGAGGGCCTCCGGGCTGACATAAGAACCCATCCCATTGTGCACCCTGGAGAAGTGTTGACTGATATTTGGGAAGAGGTGTTAGAGGGAGGGAAAGCGACCGGGGTTTTTACGGCAGGAACCGTCTCGGGTTGTTGAGAGATCCTGATGGATTTTTGTCCCTCTCCCCCTCCAATTCTTTTTACTCTCAGCTTCTCAGACGGTGTCAATCAGTAGCCATTTCTTCACGCCACATGCAGTTTGCGGTCCTTTTCAGGCGCTTGTCATTACCAGCATTTTGCCAGTATTGCTATATAAACAAATGAGTTCACGCTAGGTTCAGTGGAGAATATTGATCCAGCTGTGCAACATTTAGTTCAAAGCGTATTCAAAACACGTATGTGTTGTGATAGCATACATGTTTGGGTTTTATACAAGAATTAGTTAATGTGACCTATTATGTCTTGATAGCCTTTTTGCGATAGTTCTTCAGTTATTTTGATATTAATTTGCTAGTTAGCAAATCATCTCAAAGCAAATCATTAAATAATTAAAATAGGGACGCATATATCAGCTAATAATCGGTAACGGTTGAGCAATTATCCGCACTATTGGGCATCCGAAAACAGCCATTGATCAGGGCTGATTAAATCCTGTTCATCAAAACATTGAGTGATTTTCAGAATTCAGTTAATGAGAGTTAAGAACATCCAAAAAGTTAAGAAATCTTAATTTAATGTTCAGTATTCTGTTCATTTGAGTAATGTTACTTTGAAACATGGAAAACATGTTAATATGGAGAGAGTAAAAGTTATTTACATTTCTTTCAGAATTATATAATGAATTATCATTCAATTTGAAACAAGGTAAAAAGGAGAACCACCAAACTATCGGCAGATATCAGTAAACAATCAGATATCGGTATTGGCACAGAAAATCTGTATCGGTTCATCTCTAAACTAAACTGGAACCTGTTCTGATAACATTCCTCTTTCGTACTTCAAAGTACACCAGTAAAAAAATAACTAACTTGACATTGCACAACAGTTGGGAAACAAATGTCATGCATGTTGCTAGTTCAAATGCAATTAGCCTTTTTACACATCATATACTCAGAAAGCTTGCATTTCTCACTCTCACTCTCGATTGAAGAATAAGCTATTTGTTTGTAACCATGGCCATGAACAGAAGGCCCTACTGTATGTGAGCTCGACCTTGAATGGGACTATTTGCCTCTCCTCATTCACCCCTCCACCCTCGTCCCTTTTTCTTTCTGTTTTCTATCAAATTCCTCTTTTTATGCCCCCTTTTCTTCTTTTGAAGTCTCCAAACTCTTGTAAAAGGCCAGGCTGGTGGTTTTTGCTGAACCCTGTGGTGGGACAGCGAGGGAGGGGTTGTAGGTTAAGTTTAGGCTTTCCATTGAAGGTGGCTGAAGAAGGTGGGGCAATAAAAGTTAGAAGTTTAGAGCCTCTCTGTTTTTTTTTTACTAGCTCAGGCTACAGCTGGTGGTGTGAATGGCTGCCCGAGGTGTCTGAGTCTTAATAAAGATCCCGCCAGCCGGGCTGGGGCCTCCAGTCCAGCCGTGAGACCACCTTTATAGGCCTAGCTTACGAGCAGGGGCCTCTATTAAAACCTAGCAGGACTGCACCGAGGAATTTAGGACCGGGAAACAAGAGAAAAATAGGGTTTGTGTGTCAAAGAATGGCCAAAGTGAAGGCTGGGAGGTTGAATTTTGAGCGACCAAGGGTAAAAGTTGACTTTGGCATGTGAAAATGTGAAATCAAATGTCTTTTAGGGTTTAATCTTTTATGATATCTCAAATTCATGACTAGGGGTGTAACAATACACTCGAGTCACAAATTGGTTCGTTATGTGATACTGATCTCATGATATGAAACTCTCACAATACTATAAACAAAACACCAAGATAGAGTTAAAATGGTACATTGTTTAAATTATTGCTTTTATGACATGATAAACAGTTAACAAAAAGTAGTTTTATTTTTAAGTTATTAATAATAATTTATAAACATGAAAGCTCAAATATGTGACCTCCTAGGTTTACCATATTTGATGCTAAATTAATTCTGTCTAAACATAGTTTTTGGATGAACTATAGATGATACATGTTGTCACAGTTCACAATATATATTGTAATTCTTGACGTCAGAATTAGTGAGACATGAGACACTCGTCCCGCATGCAAGACGCCAAACGCAGGGTGGAGTTTTTCCCCCAGGCTGTGACACAGATGATCTACCTGTCTTATCGGCTCCACTTATCTGTCTGCTAGTGTTAAACTGTTTGTGTTTTCTTTTCTTTCTAGTGTCAATCACCGCAGCCGAATCCCCTAAAATACTGTCCCCCTAAGGACAGGGTGGGCGGAGCTAGAGGGAGATGAATTCAACAGACACGTTAACTAGACTTTTACTTAGTTGGCTGATGCCTCGCATACAATAACAGATTAAAAAGCAACGATAGGTAGCATCTTGTGTGTTTCTGCTCGAGGGCATCATGAAAAAGGTTTAGCGAGGAATCATGATGGTTTTCAAAGCCCTCGTGGGTCTTTGAAATTAGATACGGTTTAAAAGGTTCACGGGGGAATCTTTTCTTCTCTCCATGTGGTGTTTAATATCTCCCTCTCATTAAATCCTCCCGTGTTGTGTAAATAGTGTGAAGTGATGTGATTAGACGAAGCGTCTGATGTTTTCTTTTCTCTCCTCTTCAGCGGTGGAGACCCAGAGCACCAGTTCAGAGGAGATGGTGCCCAGCTCCCCTTCTCCACCACCTCCACCACGTGTTTACAAGCCCTGCTTCGTCTGCCAGGACAAGTCTTCCGGGTACCACTATGGTGTCAGTTCTTGCGAGGGCTGCAAGGTAAACAGCAGAACTCCCATCGCCTGTGGCCTGACGAATCTCATGTTTTTCATGAGTCTGTTACACAATTTGTCTTGATGTTTGGCAAAAATGTGAAAAATACAGTGAGAGACATGGAGGTTTAGCTCTCGCATGTTAAAAAAAACTTGAATATATTAAGAACTTTTGCTCCTGTCAACACCAAGAAACTGAGACTGACAGCATAACTTGTATTGCAGGGAGCAAAAATGTTTATGAAAACATACAAAAGGTCACTTGAAAAGGATACAGTTGCGCAGTATCAGCTACACGAGACACCAAGTAATGTGGACAGTATGTTAAAGGGATAGTTTACCCAGAAATGACAATTCTGGGAGTTCGTTTTTAAGTGTTTGTACTTTAGGCAAACATCGTTCAGATTTTGTTGAGAAGACGTCATATTAAAGCAGTGTTTCTCCAGCTGGTATCAGGAGAACACCAGCCGTCATTCAGCACAGGAAGAACTGATGTGTCAACCAATCGGATCCTTCCTCATCCGAGGCTCCCAGAGTTCACCTGGAGAATTCTCCATTTCAGTCAGGTACAGTATGCACACACACACACACACACCACACACACACACACACATATATATATATATATATATATATATATATATATATATATAATTATATACATACATGCATGCACACACACCCAGTGTGTGTGTGATGTTAATAAAATTACAAAAAAAAAATTCTTCATCTAAGTAAGGGGAAGTTCACAGAAATCATTTTTAAAAAGTTTCTCAAGATTCATTTTTGTTAAACAAACAACTTCTGACTTAACAGAGCATCTTAAAAATGTGACCTTCATGGCACAAAATGTTGAAAAAACCTGTCTAGCACACGTTTACATACAAAAACCATTTAATGGACACAATAACATGTTCTGTGTGAACAGGTCTAGTGAGTTTCATTAACCCATTTCTAAGCTTTTTGCCGCAAGTAATAATAGAATTTGGCACAATAACAATATTTCGACTAATTCAGTTAATGTTTGGTCACAGGTAAAAGGGCCATCACTTTGAACATGACTTATCAAATTTTTGACTATCCATTTATATAACACTAACAAAATACTTAGCAAAAAAACATTTGGGTCAGAACCTTTGAACAATATACCGACAGCTTGTGTAAGAGAAATAATAGGAGGGGGACGGTGGTTGACCTAGTCTTTAGTTGACCTACTCGCTCTCTCTTGGATGTCTGTTGCAGGGTTTCTTCCGTCGAAACTGAGACTGACAGCATAACTTGTATTGCAGGGAGCAAAAATGTTTATGAAAACATACAAAAGGTCACTTGAAAAGGATACAGTTGCGCAGTATCAGCTACACGAGACACCAAGTAATGTGGACAGTATGTTAAAGGGATAGTTTACCCAGAAATGACAATTCTGGTATCATTTATTCACCCTACAGTTGTTTCAAACCTGTTTAAATTTCTTTCTTCTGTTGAACACAAAAGATGTTATTTTGAAGAATGCTGGTAACCAAACATCTGACTGAACACTTCATTTTTGCGTGAACTGTCCCTTTAAAGCAATGAAAGGCAATGTAATGCGATTTTAGTATGTTTAAGGGGTAAAATATGTGTTGTACCATATACCACTGTGGTAAAATACAACTATGGTCAAGACTCAAGCAGCTTATTGCTTTCAAACATACTAAAACAATAAATTAATTGGTTTCTTCCGTCGCAGTATTCAGAAGAACATGGTGTACACCTGCCACCGTGACAAGAACTGCCAGATCAACAAGGTCACACGCAACCGTTGCCAGTACTGCCGGCTGCAGAAGTGCTTTGAGGTTGGCATGTCTAAGGAAGGTGAGGGTTCAGGCCTCTGCCAGGCACACAGGCTCCTTGGCATTCGGCCAAGACCCACATACACCAACACAAATATAGAGACGGGACAGGAGACAGACGGGGACACGCTGATATAGGTTAGAAGCTGTGAAACAGACATACAACCCAGAGACACACAGACAAATTTAGAGTCGTGAGACTCGAGTGCCAGGACACAGAGGCATAAACAAACTGCAGATGACTGTAAACTGCCAGTTTGAGACACTTAAAGACACAAAAGATAAATAAAGTTCAAACACAAACCAAGCTGGTTAGCATGGAGGTTAGAGCTCAATATGAATGTTCACTTCACAAATGGGTTTCGCGTCACAAGTTTCACCCACATCAATCCATCAACGATAGGTGTGATTTCTTTGGTAGCCCTTCCTCTAGTCACTTTATGACTTGGCACTAACAGATTTGTGTTGGAACAAAGACAATAGCCCGAGGTTGAAAGACCGAGTCTGGGGCATGTGTTTGTTCATTTGCCAGGGTCACGGCGATGATGTCACAGGGAGAGTGGCACATTGGCCCTCTATGTGTCCGCTGGGACATGTATGTGTGCGTTTATATGTATGGGATGTGTGTAGGGACCAGGATCACATTGTGCTTTTGCTATTACTGGATATCCTGAGAGAGAGAAGGAGGGGAGGGGGGTTTAGGGTTGGCAGGGCTGCTCTCCCTTGGGTCAGACTCACCAAAACACCCACGGAGTCTGATCTGAGGTCAGTTTCCATGTATTAGTGATTACATTTGGAAGTCGGTATACGGTAACGTTGTGTCTTAACCAAGTAAAATAATGCAACGTGATAAATGGGTTAATGTTGATTTTGAGATTTTCTGAACAGGTGATATGCGACAAGATGAATCTGTCAAGAACATTTCTTGGCCATATTTCACCTCAATATCTATAGAAAGAAATTTTAAATAAATATTATACAATTAAATTATATTTTTGTAAATATAGGAGCATATTTTTATTTTATTATATATTATTTTAATGACAATTAAACATATTTCCTGTTGCAACTATATATTTTTATATGTTTATGTTATTTAAATCATGGTGGTTTTTGTTAGTTTAGTTTTATTTTTCAAGCAGCTTATTGCTTTTAGATGTAATAAAACAATATGAAACTGGCATTAGGATGAAAAACGCCAATGTCTGATATATTAATTGGCCTCTATGTATTATATACAGTATTAACTTAAATGATTTTAGCAAATGGCTGCAATATAACAAAGAGTGAAAAATTTAAGGGGGTCTGAATACTTTCCGTACCCACCGTATATATAAGAAATACTAAGAAATATAATTAAATAAGAAATATAAATAAAATATAAATGAAGAAAAAGGGGGGGGTGTATTGTTTAATATACTGTTTAATATACAACCTAATTGTATATTAAACAAATTGTTGCAGCAATTCTGAGAAATTAAAATTTCAAAATCATCAGAAGTTTTTTCTGGCACATCATTTTGTAGAGTTTGACTAGTTTGCATGTACAAGTACTAAGATCATAGTTTGGCAGTTGAAGCTAACTTATTGTAGAATTATTAAGCAGCCTCTCTTTTTGTGTCTCTTTTCTTTTTCTCTCTTTGTGACTCTCAGCTGTGCGCAACGATCGAAATAAGAAGAAGAAGGACGTGAAGGATGAGGTTGTTCCGCCAGAGAGCTACGAGCTGAGTGGGGAACTGGAGGAGCTGGTCAATAAAGTGAGCAAAGCACATCAAGAGACCTTCCCTTCACTCTGCCAGCTGGGAAAATACACCACAGTGAGTGTTTTCTGAAAATGAGTGGATCTGTCAGCAATGGAATGTGGAATTTATTTATAGTGGTGTAAAACAGACCATGTCAGATGTAGTGTGATAAACATGTTCCATTATTGAAATCATCATTTAAAGGAACAGTGCACACAAATTATAAATATTGTCATTTATTCAACCTCATGTTGTTCCAAATCTGTATGACTTTTTCTTCTGTGAAATTCTTTCTGAAGAACAATCTTTTGAGTATGATTAAAGTAAATGAGCACTGAGGCCATCAAGCTCCAAAATGACAAAAAAATAACCATAAAACTATCATTAAAGTGTAAATATAATTCATATGCTCTATTCCAACTCCAAAAGTCCTAAAGTGTGAAGAACAGACTGAATTTTTTTTTGTACATTCTGTAAAATTTCTCCTTGTGTTCAATGTATTAAATAGCCATATGGGTTTGGAATGACATGTGGATGAGTACATGATTCATTTTTGATCGAAAAATTAATTTTAACGTATATTAATGCACACATATATTAACCTCTTCTCTCTTTTTCTTATTATCAGAACTCAAGCTCAGACCACCGGGTTCAGCTGGATCTGGGCCTATGGGACAAATTCAGTGAGCTTTCCACCAAGTGCATCATTAAAATTGTGGAATTTGCCAAACGCCTTCCGGGCTTCACCACTCTCACCATCGCAGATCAGATCACACTCCTTAAATCAGCCTGCTTGGAAATTCTAGTATGTGTGCCTTCCTTTAAGAATCTCACCTTGATGTAGAACATGCATCTACTACATTACTTTCACATAATTCTTAGCCTCATAAATGTCTGTGTCTCTTGCAGATGCTGCGAATCTGCACACGATACACACCGGAACAGGACACAATGACCTTTTCAGATGGACTCACCCTCAACCGGACTCAGATGCATAATGCTGGCTTCGGCCCGCTCACTGACCTGGTGTTTGCCTTTGCTGGTCAGCTTCTGCCCCTTGAGATGGATGATACGGAGACTGGACTCCTCAGCGCCATCTGCCTAATTTGTGGAGGTATTACATGATGCAATTTTGTTGCAACACTGCTGCCACCTAGATGAAGCAACAGGAACAATTTTAACATTATAGATTTAGCTTATATTCAGAATTGGTTTTAACCACTAAAAAATGGATGGAGGTACTAGTATGCTAATGCTAATACTCTTTCTCTGTAGACCGAATGGATCTTGAGGAGCCTGAGCGTGTAGATCGTCTGCAGGAGCCCCTGCTGGAAGCTCTGAAGATCTATGCACGACGCCGCCGACCCAACAAACCTCACATGTTCCCTCGCATGTTGATGAAAATCACTGACCTGCGTGGCATCAGTACCAAGGGTCAGTTTACTAGCCAAAAACTACATGGAAATCACCTTAGCATTACTATTCTGTTTGATTTTCAAGAATTAAATCTTGATGAAAATCAAATGGGTTTTTTTCAATGCAATAGTGAACCTGAGGCCTATTCAAAACAAGAGCAGCAATATTGACAGTGTTTTTGCGCATCGATGGTATTCACACTGAGGGCAACGCAAATTTTCTCTGAATTTTTGAGAAAAGTTTGCATACTTGAGCGAAAGCAAAATGCACGCCGTCATTCACATGCTTCAATGCAAAATGCAAGCCATCTGACAATCCAAGATCTGACTCGCTTCAATGCAAAATACAACTACTATACAAAACAGATTACTCATGCCTTAAAGGGGTCATATGATGCGATTTCAAGTTTTCCTTTCTCTTTGGAGTGTTACAAGCTGTTGTGTGTTTCGCTGTGAAAGCGAAACTACTTTGTTTGGTCTTCCAAAAGAGGACACAACTAGAAATCAGTGGTTAAGTTGTATTTACAACACTGTTCCAGAACAGTTCAACTCAAATATTCAGATGTGTGCAACGCATTTTACGGAGGACGAGGAGAGTATTTCCTGGGATACACAAAATAATGTTCTTTTTTAGCAACATCATATGACCCCTTTAAAGCAAAATATACTGCCAAATGAATATATATATATATATATATATATATATATATTCAATTATATATCATTTTTGTGCTAATTTGGTGCTTATTATTGTCAATGTCGAAAACAGTTGTGCTGCTTAATATTTTTGTGGAAACTGTGGTACTTTTTCAGGGTTCTTTGCTGAATAGAACATTCAAAAAACAGAATTCATTTGTCAAATCTTTTGTAAGATTATAAATGTTTTTGAATTAAAGTTTAAAATCCTTCAACAACAAAAAAAAAAACATTTTTGGATTTTTTTTTTAAATTGATGCCCAAAATTGTTGTGAAAATCTATTTGAATAGGCTTTCACTTTCTGCTAGGTACTTTTTACCTTAATACATATTATTATGTAGACCACACCATCCTGAAATTAACTGTTTGTGTGAAACAGGAGCAGAAAGGGCCATAACTCTCAAGATGGAGATCCCAGGCCCCATGCCTCCTCTCATTCGAGAGATGCTGGAAAACCCAGAGGCCTTCGAGGATCAGGCTGAGTCCACAGAGAAGAAGCCCGAGCTCGAACAGCCCACTCCTCCACCCGCCCTGCTTACTATGAAGAAAGAGCAGGAGGATGAGGACGACAGCTGGGCCACAGAGAACGGCAGTGAGCCTTCACCGGAGGAGGAGGATGACGATGACGACGACGGAGAGGAGGAGAGGGGTACAGACAGCGACGGAGAGGCCTGGGGCGGCCAGGAACCCAATGTGGACGTGTCCAGAAAGAGCCATGGAGGAAGAGCTCAGTGAGGAAGCTTTCTTCTTCCAGCCTTACCTGTACAGACACTCCTAACTCAGGCCACTCGGGCAACGATGAGAGACATCAGTGAGTCGATTTGAGGAAACTCACGTAAAAAACCTCTTCTCAGGACCTCTCCTGCAGAACGAGAGGGAAGGCGAAAGACAAAACAACTGGCTTTTCAGACAAAATAACTGCCGCTTTTATAAAACTTGTTTGTTTGCTTTGAAAAGGAGAAGCCAAATGGACGTATACCATTAACAGCTGACTCTCAACGGGTTCAAAAAAGTCTTTCAAAAGAAAATACAGGATGAGAACTGAAAATGCGAATCTTTTTCTGTCGTCGTTGATGCTTTTGAATATCATTTTGACTTTTCAGCCTTGAGATAGTTTGTTCTCTTTACATTTTATGAATAAGCCCATACATATCTATATATACCTTTATATATTTTTTTGTCCTGTATTGTATTTTCTTAGTTATATTTTGTTTGGATAGCTTTCCTGGGCAGACTTACAGAAAGATAATCGGATTGCTATAACTGGCAGACCTCTGCTGAGTCTTTATCCAGCTGCTTGGTTGGGTTCTTGGGCACTTTGGCTCAGCATTAGATGTCATTGATAATCAGTTCAGTGGCTGGGTATCTCCCGTCGAATGATCCGTGTTTTAGGAGAATGCCATTACGTATCGGCTTTTATTTGGTCATATGATTCGCTGCCAATTGAATGGTGTGTCTGTGCCAAAGTTTGCAGCTTGTAGGGTTCAATTCCTGTCAGGGAGCCCAGCTCCAAACAGAAAACACCCACATGTCCATTACCTTCAAGTCTCTGCATCATGCATATGATGTCATACTGGACCGGTTTCATTCAGAGTGCTCAGGCAGAAGTTATGCAGCGCTCGAGTCAAATTAAAAGACTGCGTGGAATTTGACCTCATCGGCCTAGACAATTCTTCAGGATTACTACACAAATGCATCTGGACAATTTTTTGAATCTCATATATCACAATGAAATACAGGAACGCACACACACACACACACACTTGAAAAGCATGCTACATATATTCAGATATCTTGCTATAAAAAAGAAAAACATGAAATTCAGACTCAGGGCATCTCTGTAAGGACCAAACGCTTGCTGTCTGGCGGCAGCCTAGAAACAGGCAATATGTATGTGTGTTAAGTTTCAGAAATCCCGCCGTGGCACCATGAACTGAAAAAAAATCTGCGTATCTTACACAGTCATTACAGAACTTTCATCTTCGTTATAGAAATAGTTCTTTTTCTAATTTTACCTAATTAATTTTATTGCCAAAAACACAGTAGGCAATTTGGTGGTTGTGTGCCACTGAACATTAAAAGGTATCAGTCTCAGTCAAGCAATATGACTATGACCAGAACTCAGCTGTGTGTGTCTGCGTGTGTGTGTGTGTGTGTGTGTGTTTGTGTTTTGAATGTGAGGATGGCTGCACTCAATAAGCTGTAGTGTAGTACTTTGTTAAATGAATGTCATCACTGTGGTGCTGTCAAGAGAGTGTGTGAGCTGTCATACTGACCTCTTCTCCTTCAGAGTTGCACCACAGCCACACGTAAAGCAAGCGGAATGTTGAGATTACTTTAACTCTTCGTCATATTTTTCTTGTTCTCTAGACTTGGCTAATGTATTGTCAGGTCTTTGTTCGTGTTCAACAAATTCTGTTATATAAAAAGCCATATAAACAATAAGAGGCACAATAAACTTTTTTTTTTTTGAGAATCTCTCTCTCTGTTATTCATTTATTTATTTATTTACTTACTACATGTACTTTATTTTGTTTAGTATATGCTTTAGTAATTGTTCATCCAAATGTCATAATTTACTCACTTTTATGTTGACACATGGGCTTTCACTGCCATTGACGTGTGAATCTCACCAGGTCCAGGTCACATTTATCCCCAAAAGCAAAATAATTATAAGAATTTAAAATAATAAAATATTTTTTGTACTGTATTACATGTAATACAAAGTTTTTTTAAATTACAATTGGCATAAATTGAAGGCATTACAAAATATCACCATTAAGTATAAATACGTTACAATTTAATTCTGTTCATATGTCCATCCAATCACTGAAACTACTTTCATAACTTTTAAAATGTATATTCAAGAGTGTGTAAATACACTTTTTAATGTCCTTAAAAATACTTTTACTTTTACTTATACACACACACACACACATATATATATATATATATATATATATATGTGTGTGTGTGTGTATATATATATATATAATTTTTTTTTTTTTAAGGTGGTGTTGAGGAATAAGCAGACGTTTATGTCCTTGTGATTGATTGGCAGAAGTAAATGAATAAATGAGTTCATTTGGAACTGCATATATTATATAAAATAATATCACGATGCAAAATTAGCTTTATGTAAGTAAAATGTGTGGTGAAATCAAGATATTTATCTAACGGGTCTGAGATTTACCCAGAGCGTTTTGTTGTGACAAACAGCAATGACGTCAATTCGCTACGCGACGCGTCCACGCGCCAAATTTAAATATGAAAGCAGGAAAAAGATTTAAAAGCCGCAGCCGAGGATTTTGCCGTGAATGGCTCAAATTTCGGTCTGTGCTTCACACAATAGTACAATTTAGCTTTAGAAGACATGATATATAGTGTGTGTGTATATATATATATATATTATAGTGTATCAGTCGTATAGGCTATATTTATGATGTTTTTGTCTTTCGTTACGCTTAACAGGCCATGGTCACACTGTTCTAATGAGGAGAAACAAAAGCAGCGAGGACTTTCTTCAACAACAAAAAAAACAATTCTTATTTTGTGTTCTACAGAAAATCATACTCGTCTTGAACGTCACGAGGGTGAGTAAATGATGACACAAATTTAGCTGGCAATATTCACAATGAAACAACGGGTGTGGAATCTAAATCCGCAAAGAATTTATCCAGTAGAGGGCGATAGTGCACCACAGATTAGCTCTAATGACCCTGTTGGCTGGAGAAATGTAATTTATCAAACCTAACCACACAAACACTTCTGAGACCAAACCTAATGGATCCTGCCAGTGTGCCCTCATTTATCTGCATGTGTCATACAGTAATTATCTGAGGACAAAGAAACATCCCTGCATTACTCATACAGGAGCATTAAAGGCTCAGACATGAGACAGCATGGGCGGATGGTTATGATGAAAATTTGGTTTCATTAAGAAGCATGAATTAAATATTTTAGATAATTTAATGTGTGATAATTAAAAAGTATTTAATACAGTATTAAATACATCTGAATTGGTTAAATTAAACTGTAAATTTTGAAATAACATTACCAGATCAAGAGATGTTTATTTAATATTATTTTTATTATTATTATTACTATTAAATATTATGTTTCATATTACCAGGTAAATTAATTTCAGAATTTATTTTGGTTTATCTTTGAAGTGTTTCTGAATGATAAAGATGACCACACCCTTTCTATCATGTTTTCATATTCTCAATACCCATAAAGGACAAGTTCATATGGATTTATTCATGTCTTTTCTGAATTCATGGACGGACACAGTACTTGATGGATTTAGACTTGGCCACTTTATTTGTAAAGAGCACACAGGGGCTCACAATATACAATTCTATTTATTCATAGCTCAAGGGTATTGTAGTAAACTGGGGTATGGTACTCTTAATTAAAAGATTACTATAATTAAGTTTCATTAAAAAGATCAATAAACTAGGGCTAAGATTAAAAACAAGGCCCATACATTATACACTGGTTTACAAGGACCCCATATATTAAATCCCAATGAGATGTTGCCCTGGGAACACAAGGCAGATAGGCTGAGGAGATGGATTTAAAGAAGCAGGACAGGTTTTTCTTTCCATGGCAAACCCGCACCACTTCCTGTGGTGTTCTGTGCATAGCGCTGAGAATAATGAGAGTTAAATGAAGGAGAAAAGAGCAATAATGAAAGGCGAGAACAAAGTCTAGGCTACGATTGTTCCAATTACAAAAACAACAAAAGAGGCACATGTGGAGAGATATTCATTTATTCTGATTAAAGCCATTTAAATGGCTATCAATGAAACCTGCAAAAAAATAAAAAGAACTAGATTCTTTTGAGTGGAGTGGTGTTTGCCTTGGCAAAATATGATGTCATGGTGTTATGGTGTTTGTGAAGATGAATTATGGTCAAATGTGGCCCCTTTTTGTCTCTCTTATGTAGTCTAATAACTAATTTTCATATTTCACAACTGCAACTTGAAACCTGTGTTTATTTCTTAGAATTATGACTTTAAATCACAACATTTTATGCTTGAAAACAAAGAATTACAGCTTTAGCATCTTTGTTTTTGCAGCTAACTGTATATTTTGTAAATGTGACTTTTCTAGTGGCTGATAAAAACTGAATTGATGTAGGCCTACAATATCAATACCATACTGCAGTATCTTAATTGTGTTGAAGAGGTCTCTGGGACAAATAAAATTTCATTTTTTCTAATTTTGCATTGTGAAAACGGTCACACATTAGTTTCACCCAAAAATGAAAATTTGCTCAAATGTATTCACTCTCAGGCCATCCAAGATGTAGAGGAGTTTGTCTCTTCACCGGAACAGATTTGGAGAAATTTAAATGACATCACTTGCTCACCAATGGATCCTCTGAAGTGAATGGGTGCCGTCAGAATCAGAGTCCAAACAGCTGATAAAAACATCACAAAAAGCCACATGTAATCCAAATGACTCCAGTCCATCAATTGTCTTGTCAAGTGAAAATCTATGTGTTTTTAAGAAACAAATCCATCATTAAGACGTATTTAACTTCAAACCGGTACTTCGGCTAAAATACAAGGCCTCTATCTACAATTGTGCTTTCTTCAGTGAAAAAGTCATCTTGTCTGAATCGGAAGAGCAATATGCACAGATCAAACACAAACACGAAAACAGTTCTATATGGTTCTTTTTCACTGGAGGAAGCATTATTGTGAATTATTGACTCGTATTTTGTCCAAAAGCAACAGATTAGGTGAACTATTCTTCTAATCACTGTTCATCTGTCAATTTTGTGTTTGCAGTACCTTGTTTCTCTCAGCTTGAGGCTCCAGGCAGTCAGTGACCCGGGCCATAATCCATCCTTGGTTGGAAGTGGTGGCGGGGACGTTGCTATGTAGTTGCTAAGGTATTAATTTTTGGCACATCACTAGGGTCGTCTGGCTGGTTGCTAGGTGGTTTCTCACTGATCCACCCCCAAGTCTATATTATGTTCTAGTCTGCTATAGATGTGTCTCCTTTAATGAGATTTTCTTTCTTTTGTTTTATTCTTTCCCTGGCAAAAGTTGTAAATCTATTCACTAGAAATGTAATGACACACCTCTCCTCAGCAAACTGCATGATTTGAGGTATCATTCATGTCAGTAGCACAAACATGTAGAATTATTAATAATATGAATAATAATGCATTAAAGTTTAGGAAATATTACTTTAAAAATGCAGAATGAAAGTGAGGAAAAAAACATTCAGACAAAAAGTGAACTCAAAATAAGGTACTAGGATGTAAAAGAAAAGAATGACTCTAATATCTTGCCCAGCAAGTGGAGACCATACAGGCTGCACTGGTTTAATGCCGTTCAATCAACTTGTAATAAAATGCAAAATTACCCATAATATATTTTTTCATTTCTAATGTTAGAGAAAATACTCTGGCTGGAGGTGTTTGGAGAAGAAGAGAGACATATAGACGAGATTATACATTACACATCCTCTGCAGAAAACCGGGGTAGTGCCTTCCTAAAAGACATGAAAATGCAGAAAAGGAAAGAGAGAGAGGTAGATAGCTAAGGAGGGAGGGAAGGAAAGAAGGAGAGCAGGTAAAATGTTGTAATGCCAGGGTGCAGTGCTGTGGCCTCAGGCTCTTCATATCTTTTACATTTCTAATTAAAAGAGATAAAGAGTGAAGGAGTCATCAATCCTAGAGTGATTTCCCTGTTAAGGTTTTAGAGGCAGCCGTAAAGCAGGCAGCCCAGCTCCATTGATTTTATAATTAGCTCCCGTCATGCTGCTAGGGGAGTGAGTGTGGAGAGG